AGTTCTTTTGTCTTCTTGATGACAGCTATGTTCATATCCCACGATTTCGGAAGTGAATTTAGCAGCTTTTTGTTTATCTCTGATTTAGACAAGAAGATCCCGGCTATATTCATCTCAGTAGTGAGTGTAGTAAATCTCTGCAATTGAGTTTCGAGGGTTTCTCCAGGGATATAATCGAAAATGTTGAAATTTTGTCTTAACATATCCTAACGACTCTCTTTCATGTTTTCAACTCCCTCGTAGACCTTAAAATCAATTAAAAGCACAACTAGAAGCTAAAATAAAATTTAAAAGTCAATTTTTTTTTTAAATCAGACTCAAAAATCAAACATGAAAAAGTCAACCTTGAAAAAGTCAAATTTAAAAAGTTAAACTCAAAAGTCAAACTTGAAAAGACAAACTTAAAAGTCAAACCACAAAATTAAATTTGAAAATTTAAAAGTCAAACGAGAAAGTCAAAGTTTAAAGTCAAATGCCAAATTTTAAATAAAAAGTCAAAAATAAAAGTCAAAAATTAAAAATTAAAATTTTTGGTTGAAAAAGATATTTAAAAAGGAAAGAAATTGATTTTTGGGGTTAAAAGTGTTAAGTTTCGGAAATAGGAAGCGACAGTAGTGTTTAAGTTTAAAATATGGGAGGGAATGAATAAGGTATATGTTGGAGGAGTTGGCAAGGCGCTTGCTTTGTGATCAAGAGGTCGCGTGTTCGATCCCCGCCTCCCCCTAGCTTCGTCCTTTATTTTGTTAAGGCGCTGATCAAGAGACCCTCAGCCGAGCCGTTCTTCAAGCCACGCTCCACCAAGCCGCAAGCTTGGAAACCCTAGCCGCATATACGAACTCCGCCGCCGGCCGTGAATAGTTTCCGGCAGTAAGCTCCGGTCGAAAACCCTTCAAGATTACGTGAAAAATAACGATTTTTTGACTTTGAAGCTCCAAAACTCGATCAAAAACCTTTTTTTATGAAAAACACGAAGAACAAACCCCCTTTATTTTTGCAAGATCTATCCAAAAACGCAAAAATATTTCGAAAATAAGATCAAATAATGCTCCAAAATAGGTTTACAGCCCAAGAACTTTGAAGCTCCAAAACTCGATCAAAAACCTTTTTTTATGAAAAACACGAAGAACAAACCCCCTTTATTTTTGCGAGATCTATCCAAAAACGCAAAAATATTTCGAAAATAAGATCAAATAATGCTCCAAAATAGGTTTACGGCCCAAGAACTCGGTGTTTACGGCCGTAAGCTTGGACCGGAAACACCAATTATTCAGATTCCAGACGAAACAAAAATCCTTTTGACTGATACAACCAGGCTCTGATACCAATTGTAAGTCCCTAATTTGCCTGTGTATCAATCAGATCCGTTTGATGGTGCGGAATCCCAATCAAACGGATGATGTCAGATCACAATAAGAAGAGAAGGAGAAGAATAATATGTTGAATCTTGAATGTATTGATGATATGAATTAAGTTCCTTACACAAAAGATTCACACACACATAAAGGCTCCTGTTTCTCTCTGGCCGTAAACTCTCTAGGGTTCATCAATCTTTACTCCTCACCCTAACACCTCTATTTATACTTATAGAACATGGGCCGGAAACACATGGGTCGCAAATGAGTTTACGGCCGTAAACTCAGCCGTAAACTAGACCATAAATTCATAAATATTACAGAGAAATACAATTGCCTAGAAAAGTAAAGTATAAACCATATTTTGACCCAACATTAATGGAGTTTCTAGTCCAAGAGGGACTCCACCCACAACCAATACAACAACTTTATGACTTAAACATCCAAGGAGGGTCTAGATTTGAAGTTACAGCTTCAGATCTAGCCTATAGCTCAACATCCTAACTTGAAAATCCATAAAAAGCCCTAGAATCAACCAAAGTGAAGAAAAGGAAGTAAGAATGGTACTTTGATACCTTCAAACGATGCTAGCTGAGGCAAAACCCGCTTCCCACTCCTTTCTTGCTTCAATTTCCTTTGCACTCTTAGCTTCCTTCCTCTAAGATCCTCTTTTCCAAGCTTCAAACCCACACCAAGGCACACACACACACGAATTAGGGTTTCAAGGGCTCTCAAAGACTGTAAGGAGTCCCAAAGGAGGCTGAGGCTCCTTTAAATCGGGTGCAAACCATGGGATTTAGGGTTTCATCTGCCAGCTCCTACTCGCCGAGTCCCAATAATGGACTCGCCAAGTAGGTCACTAAACACGCGTTCTCACCCCGCTGCTACTCGTCGAGTAGAGCTTTATTCATAAATTCTTAATTAATTAATACATGAGGATCGGGGCGTTACAATATATATATATATATATATATATATATATATATATATATATATATATATATATATATATATATATATATATATATATATATATATATATATAGGAGTAGGATCAAATGAGAACGCCTAAAAGGTTGAGAACGTGAGAACAATTATCAGCCAATCATTTTATTAGGGTATTTAAGTAAATTTGTATTTAATCTATTTTTTAATTAATATAATACAATTAATAATCAATATATTATCCATTAATATTTTCCTATAATTAAGGGATATTCCATAGTTATCGTTCAATGAGATATTGAATTGAAGATACGATTTCCAGGGACGATTTCGAGTATAGCAATCGGAATTTCAGTCGTTTGTATATTGTTAATCATTTACGTTTAAAGATAACAACGCAGTATAACATTCGTGATTCAAATCAATATCGATGTCGGACTGTTTTGATTACAGTAGCGATGATACAGAAGATGATGATCAATATGGCGAAGAAGACGTCAACTGTAATGAATATGACGACGACGATTTCTATAAGTCTGATGATCAATTCGACGGAAGAAATCAAATCTCTGATTATGCTAGTGAAGGTAACTAATGAAAACAATGTCAATATCTTGTAATTACAGATCGTGTTTTTCAATAGTTATTGAATTTTTGTATATGTTGAATAAGACCGGAGTACATATTTGTATATGATTAGTCATATACGTTGCATGTATTAATTACGTAATGATGGTTTATATCACATATCGTTGTACAGGAGTCCCTCGTTGGTGATTTTTTCTTAAGTTTAATACAATGTTGATTAAGTTTGATAATCATTGGTGATTATGCGTTAATACGACTCAAACATGTAAACAATTCAACTTTGGTTACTGTTTCACATACGTTTATTATGATTATAAAGTTCTTTAGTTTATGTATACGTAATTCATAGAAATTTATATTAGGTTTTGCATGTCGCATTATTGTTTTTTGTTGTCTTAAAAAACAGGTACAAATCGAACTGATTCTGAAGAGGAATCATTCAATAGTAATGTTGTTGACTCGCCTGGTGGGAAAACCAAGTTGTGGAAACCTATTGTTCCTAAAGATTTTATGCCAGATGTAGATGCTATATATCAATCATTAGAGGAGGCGGTTGAAATGTATAAATTATATGCAGATAAAGCAGGTTTTGGTGTCAGGTTAAATACAGTAACGAGGTTTGGTGACAAAACCATTAAAAAAAGGTATGTAGTTGCAACAAAATGGGTAAAATACCTAACAGATCAACTGACACTTTGGATCCTGAGGGGAGTGGAAGGAATAAACGAAACTCAAACTTCAAAATTACGGACTGCAAGGCATTGATAAAGTTTGAAAGGTTACATATGCAAACTAATGCTTGTAAAATATATGAGTTTGAAGAGAATCACAACCACCCCCTAGAGACTAAAGAAGAAAGACGGTATTCCAAACGTGCACGACGACTTAGTTACAAAGACAAGGAGTTTATAGTGCGTTCTTCAACATCTAACATTGGTGCAACAAAGGCACACAAGTTACAAGCTAGTTTGCAAGGAGGTTATGAAAACGTTGGCCCTGAATCAATTGATTATAAAAATTTCAGAAGGAAGGTGGGAAACATTATGGTGACAAGGATGCACAGCTGGTTGTTGACAAAATGAACATGAGGAAAGATGAGTTTCATAATTACACATTTGAGTATAAATGTGTTGATAGTGTGTTAAACGCAATGTTTTGGGCGGATGAAACCGATAAGTTATATTACAAGGAGTTTGGAGATGTGATATCATTTGATGCTACATTCCGAACAAATAAGTATGCTCTTATACTCATTACACACTTTTTTTTAAGTATGAATATTGATGTTTTTTTGACTTCGTAATCAATATTGAATTTGTTTTTAATTACCTTTTTGATACAGGTATGGAATGATTTTTGTGCCGTTTACAGCCATTGATAACCACAAACGTTCAATAAACATTGGGGCAGGTTTGTTAAGCAACGAGTCAATAGAATCTTATCGTTGGTTGCTTGAAGCTTTTTTGAAAGCACATGTGAAACACCCTCAATTAGTGTTAACAGACCAAGATCCAGCAATTCTACAGGCCGTTGAAGCAATATTTCCTAATTCTAATCATCGTTTATGTATGTGGCACATTATGAAAAAACTACAAGCCAAGGTGTGTATATTTTGGCCTAAGTTAGCACGCAACAGTTTTATTCAACAATGATTTACACAGTTTTACATATTTCTAATAACGATTAGCATACATATTGTTTATTCATAGTTAATCTAATAAATTTCTATTTTTTTTAGGTTTCAGCCGATTTTTTGAAAAACACTGATTTTCGCAAGCGTTTTACAAAGCTTGTATGGAATGTCTATATCGAGCCTGAAGTGTTTGAATCAAGGTGGAAACTGCTTATGAGAAAATTCAAACTACTGGACAAAAGATGGTTCAAAGACATGTACAGGGATAGAAAACTTTGGATTCCAGCCTATTTTAAAGACATGTCACTACACGGTCTGATGAAAACTACTTCAAGGTCTGAAAGCGTGAACTCATTTTTTAATAAATACTCTAACTGTGGTAATTTGCTTATCTATTTCATGATGAACTACGACACCGCAATTGGAAAGCAACGAAATGCTCAACAGAAACTAGAACATGATACAAAAAATGCAAAGCATGAAATGACGCTTCCAAGTGGCTTACTAGAACATGCAGCTGCGGTTTACACAAAAAAGATTTTCTATGAGGTCAAAAAGGAAATATTTAAAGCAGCCTGGTACTGTTCTATCGACAGTGTTGAAAAGATTGATGGGTGGCAAGTTGTTATGATTACACAAACGGATAAGAGCAAACAGTTGAAGATAAAATGCAAGGTTATATTCATCGTTTAAATGCTTTTCATTAGTCATCATACAAGTATAATATCTAATTATTTTTAAATTACATATATTTTTTTCATTATTATGCAATAACCACCAACTAATATGTTACTTCAATCAGTTACTAACATACATTATTTTTATTATACAATGTAGGTTGAACTAAAGTTGCCTGAAAAAGAAGTTAAATGTTCATGCAATCACTTCATACGTACTGGCATTTTGTGTCGTCATATTTTTGCTGTACTGAAAAACAACCATATTGAAGAGATTCCAGAGCAGTATATTCTAAGAAGATGGAGTAGGGATGCAATTTCCAGCCATTTGTTTGCCATGAAACATGTTGCCATGGAAATAGAAGATGACACCTTTAAACTTTTAACAGAGGCATACAACAATATTGAATACTGCTTGGATCATTTTAAAAGAAGCAAAGAGAAACTGTTGGAGTTTGTTGAAAAAACACGTACGTTGAAGCGGGCAGCAATTGAGTTTGCCAGTTCCAACCAAACATCATCTGATAACGATGAAGAAGAAATTATTCGGATGCTTGGAATACGCAGCATTCCTGATGAAATAAATATCCATCCACCTGCATCTATACGTACCAAAGGTAGTGGAACTAAGAAAAGAATGGTTAGTGCTATTGAGAAAGCCGTTGCAGCTGCGAAGAAAAAAACCAGAATGTGCACAGGTTGCAATCAATATGTTAACCATAATTGGAGGACTTGCAAAGTAAGACTTGCACGAGAGTCAAAAGCAGCTTAAAATTGCCCAGTCATTTTCCCATTAGATTTTACTTTTCTATTACACTTATGAATACGAATATGTTTCTATGATTTAGTAGGTTATGTTATCTTAAACCACTTTCATTACTTTTGAAGTTTTTATTTTATTCATAGATGAATAATAGCAATGCCAAATTTGGTAATGCTAACAGATTAATGACAATATCTGGTATTTAAACCTCTTTTATTAGATTAAAACAGTTCGCACTTACAATAGATATACTTGTGCTTTTTTCAAATTATAAAACCATCAATCATTATATACTATAGTCATATACAATCCAAGCAATATTCATAGTTTATTGTATGCTGTTAGTAGTATATCTTAATACCAAATGTTTGTACGATTAACTTTTAAAATAGCTATACATCATATATTGATTTACGTTTGCGTTTGGGTAAATTTTAGTCATAAGTTTAACCATGGTTGACTTTTTAACCCTTAAGTGTAGTCAATAATGAATAACATCATAAATACGTTAATTATTTTCAACATATTGATGATATGAACATTGTTAAATACTATTCAGTTTAAGATAAAACAATTTGCATTTAAATTAAAATATGTTAGGAATACTTCAAGTAAGTGTTTATGTTATTATTCAATATTTAAATAACAACATACTTTAAGATATAAACCCACCAACAATCATTATATAATATAGATATGTTCACTTTAACTATTAAAAATTCTGATTGTATGTTCATAGTAAAATAGCATATTAACAAATGTTTGTTAGTTATATTCATTACTGAACATACATTAAAACTATACCATCAATGTTAATCATCATTTTCTAAGATAACTTAATTATTCAAATGTTAATGTAAAAATATAAATACTAAAATATCACTAGTCCATTACTAAAATTATCAAACCAAAGGTAAGTATGTAGGTTGAACTAAAGTATAATATGTTAGGAATACTTCAAGTAAGTGTTTATGCTATTATTCAATATTTAAATAACAACCTACTTTAAGATATAAACCCACCAACAATCATTATATAATATAGATATGTTCACTTTAACTATTAAAAACTCTGATTGTATGTTCATAGTAAAATAGCATATTGACAAATGTTTGTTAGTTAGAATCATTACTGAATATACATTAAAACTATACCATCAATGTTAATCATCATTTTCTAAGATAACTTAATTATTCAAATGTTAATGTAAAAATATAAATACTAAAATATCACTAGTCCATTACTAAATTAGCAAACCAAAAGTAAGTATTGTACGTACAGCAACCCAAGTTAACATCCTTAGCATACAAAAGCATTGTTTTTAATCCATCCAAAAGAAACCATTAAAGTCATAACTAAAATTACTTTTTAAAACAATTAACTTAAAACATCCAATCTCCTGTGAATTTCTTCCTTTGCAATGGCCAACATTTGAGAACGTTGTTTTGAAGGAATCTTGTGGAATTCATCAACCTTTTGCAGCACATAATCCTTTTGCACATTATATTCATGAGTGAGTATTTTGTATAAATACTTTGTCCTCAGTTTAACAAGTTGATCATCTTGTGCAGAAGACTCGTTCTTGAATCCAGCTTTAAACTCATTCATACTTCCCCCCATATATGTTTCCATGTGACGCATCGTAAACACACCACAATCAATGCTGTTGTTTATTGTTCTCCAAGGCATTTCCAGTCTATGTGGCATCACATGTGAAAACATCTCAGCTTTTGGATGATTCTGAGATTTTAAGTAATCAACTATGTACTCTTTCTGAAAATGTAAAAAAAACATTGTTAACACATATTAAATTTTATTAAGTATGTAAAGTAATTTTTATTAATCACTTACAATGATTTGGGGCAACTGACCATATCTCTCACCATCAGGATCATCAACTTTGCTGTTGTCAACGATTACAAACTCTGGTTGTTGTAGATTGATCACAAAAAGGAAAATGTGGAAGGAACGGATGATTGGTAGGAAAAGCTGCAACGTTTATTAATTACAATTGTATTCACTTTATTTATATTCATATTTGATCAATGATAAATACACATGTAAGTAAACTGTGGAGATATATATCTTACCAGTCCAACAAAACGTAGGCTTGCGTCCATATCTTCAATAGAAAGCACCAAATTCTCAATGAATTTATCTTTACGTTGACTTTCTGTTAAACCACTTTCTAGATACGAATTCTGTGATCGATTTTTAAAAACTCGTTAACTTCTTTATATGTTTGTATTTAAAAAATAATACAATCAACATCGAACAATATTAACTTATACCGTCACATCTGTCTTGCAATAAACTCTCAGGGGCGATTCAGGTGCACGCTTACTTTCATCAAGATTCAACACTTGACTCCAACAATCAATGACATGGCCAAATAGTTCACATGTTGGAAAAAAACTTTCCATATGAAACCTCTGTGCAGAAAACCCATCCAGAGTGTGGAAAACTATATCACTGCAATAGACGTGAACAATTAATACTATTTTTAATGAGCAAACAATAAAAGTAAGTAATTTTAAAAATATTTTAAATGCAACTTACTTTGGATCTCCCTGGAGAGAGAATATCCATTCTGCTACACGTTTTTCCTGCCGTGGAACTCCTTTGATGATATCAACAGCCCGTATAACGTAAGGAGATTTCAGATATTCGGATTTCATGCGAGGCCTGTACCCTCTTCTACTAACCCAATGTTCATCTTTGTTGAATGGTACTACAGACAAAGGAATTGGCATTTCCATTTTAGATGGTGGTGTATTCTTAAAAGATTTTGTTCCAGATCTATTCGCGAAATCTGCATATTCCTGTGACATTTGAATACTACATTTTGCTAACGCGGAGTTGTCAAACTGTTTGTTAGTTGTAGCTAGAATCAGCGTACGTTCAATTTCAGCCTCGTTATCATACCACCATTGAGATTGTTCTGGTTCCTCTGATGCAGAAACTTCAGTAAACAAATCATTTACTTTGTTTTTCCATTCTTTGACCAACTGATTATCAGGATATTTCTTGACAGCATCATTTATTTTTCTTCCAACACTTTCTTTTGCTGCAATATCATGTCGTACATCTCCTTTATTGTTGAAACAGTTGTCTAAATAGGTCACCACAATAGAATTATGTTACAAACCAAATAAAAATATTAATATGTCAGTTAGTATTAATTAATACTGTAGAAACTCATTATTCAAATGTGAATAGGTAGTTAACTACCTCAACAGTTTCCCCACTTCCACTAAAAATATCATCTCCATGATTTCCCTACGAAAAGCAACACAATATTAGTTGTTGTACTAATAACTTATTATTTAGTTATGATTATATTATAATACTACCTTACACCTTACATCTCCTGCATCATTTCCCTATCAATAATTTATGAATGTAATTAATTTATACTATACCAAATAAACAAATAATAAATTTCATATGCATTGTTCAATACAATAAAATATTACCTGAACTTTTTCTTGCCCTACATTACCAGTTCCCGATGCTTCATTGATGAATTGAAATGGATCTTGCAATTCACCCATACCCAGACCAATTGTCCTACACTCTACTCTTTCTCGCTCACGTAGTTTATCAACACTCCAACAACATATTGCTGGTCTGCATCGTACAATCTTCACTGAATCGCATCGAACACTTTCTACGTATAGCAACTACAACAAAGACAAATAAAAAATGTTTTACTTAAATACACTTTAATGAATCTGCACACATAAGGCTACAAATATTGAATGACAGTTTAATTTAAAACAAATTTTACCAGCAGTAATATAATTGGCCCAACATAGAATCCTTTTTTGCTGTTTGGATTCCACGCACTTTTTGTCTCCTTAAGGCAATCAAAAACATATCCACACCAATCAATGTCACTTAGATCCAGATCTTTAGTCACTTTTGATAACATCGACAGGTCACACGTGCCCATGCTCATCGACTGACCTAGTGTATTACACAACAGGACAAAGATGTTTACTTTAAACATTAAATCCGCACGTGTTGACTGCATAATAACTTGTTGAACTGCCCTTGGTCTAATATTATCTTCATCTTCGAATTGTTTTCTCCAAACAGTTATCGTGTCATCTGTGACTTCTCTATAAGGCATAGACTTTATTGTAACATGTCCCAGAGGCAGACCCAACATTTCGTGAATAACTTGCCGATTGATTGGTATCTCTCCATGATGAAGTTTGAGTACCATCCTATCTGCGTTAAAATTCCTTACAATATAATGCCCCATAATTGATGCACACTCATCCACTTTCATCTTCAACAAATTCCCCAAACCAATAGAAGAAATATAACCTTCCTGTTCCTTGCTAAGGTTATGCATACAACTGTACAAAACATTTGGAGATGTCCGTACTTGTATTCGCTTAGCTTCTTCTGCACCACTTGCTACAACTTTAGGATGTTTTCTTGGCTTCAACACATTTCCTTCTTTATTCCTTTGTCTTTTAAATTTCTTCACATTTTCTTTGTCATCATCTTTGAATGAAGTATGATGCCTTCTCTTTTTCCTTGTTACCACGGTTATGTCTGCCTCAAAATCAGAGTCTTCATCTTCGTCAAGGTTTTTGACAGTAACATTATCTTTTCCTGTTAAGTCAAATTTAACACAATAAATGATTATAAATAAATTACCATACCAATGCTATAGTAAATTTATTAAAGAAAATAACACTACCTGAAAATGAGTTTATAACAACAACTTCATCACCTTTTGTTTTACATCTATCAAAACGTCTTTTTGTTCTCAATTCATTTTCCCTATTTAATCCACTGTCTTCTGTCAAGTCATAACTTTCAATGAAACCTATCAATAATTAGACAACATAATCATTACTGAAGATACTTTAATATATAAGTTACATTTCATGAAATCATCCTTCATACCTTTTTTTTCTGTATATTTTTTTTAGCTTTAGAGAACCTTGAATTTCCTCCATCAACCTTCTTCACATTGACTTTGGGTTTCCTGTTTTTTTCTATTAATAAATACAAAACAAACAAGTTATTAAAACTAACTACAACATCAAACCGTAAATAAATTTATTTCTAAACAAGTACATTACTTGAATCTGAGCTCAAAACTACAATTTTAAGATCCCTTCGCATTGAATGAGCTGGTGTGCGATTAACACGTTCCCCCACACCTGTCCAAAAAATAAGACTCATAATCACTATAGATTCAAATTGATATTTAAAATTTTAAATTTCATATAATCATCATCACCAATAGTTTGATTTTTAGTTTTCTTCTTAGGTGTTGAAAACTTCTTCTGTCCTTCTCTTCTAATCTGAGGTTGTACTAGTTCGTTTCCTTCATTGTCTGCATCTTCAATATCAATAAGCAATGGATTGGATTCTTCATTAGTGAATTTGCTGAATGTCGTTTTTAGTAATATCCTCTCGCTTTTCTTTCTACCTAATAATAGCATTAATATACCTTAATCATTTATAATTCAGAATTGAAACATTAACAACTCAAATAATCATCCATTATACATTCTACATTAAACACATACCCAAAAAACAGAGGAATGTTTACAATAATCATCAATAAACAACAAGTGTAGTTAACTTACTGACATAAAACAGTTGGGACTCATACATCATTAGTATTAACATACAAAACATAGTCAACAAA